AAAGGCTTAAAAATCCCTAATACTTTATCCTGCGATATTAATTAAAAAAACTAGTCAGGTTTCGACCTTCAATCCATGCACCACTCCCATCACAGCGACACACATATAAAAAAAAGGGGTGTAGAGGTGAAAAAAGCGCGTGCATATATGTATACCGCTCTATATTTCTTCTGCCGAATCAGTTCACGTTTGATGTTCCTATTTGATCCATCAGCAGTTCCGTCAAGTTTCATTTGTCATGGATAATCGTTCCCTAATCGTACTCTAACGTTTTGCTTCGGTTTCACTAAATTTCCTCCAAAATTCGCCAAAAATTCAGCGGTTCTCCAGCATAAGAAACGCGCGCGTTCAGCAACGACGATGACGATGACGTGTGAGAGAACGATTTTTTGAAGACGATGAAGAATGAGACGCGCACTCAGCCGACAACCGCGTTGACGCAACTGTTTCGACGGGCGAAGAGAATCGCCTCTCTTCTTGAATTGGACGACGACAAAATTATGAGACACGTCCTAGGAGATCTAACTTCTCTTTCTTCAGTTCGTCGAGTGTGTTCCGTACTTTCTTCTTTGCTTCTATAAATTCTATACCGTCGTTTGTACGTTCTTGAAAAATGATTCTTTCTTCCGTAGGTTTCAAGTAGGTCTTCCTCTTGGTTGCAGGTTCTAGCAGTCATGATTAACGCGTAGAAATCTTCTGAATCTTGTGCCCTTGTGCTAGTAAAGTAGAGTTTCTTAGACCTTGTATCTCCTTAAAAAGTAATTACAATAGTAATTTATTATTTCCTCGTTTTTTCTTGCTTTCACGAGTTCTACACGTAGGAATTAAGACATGGATTTTGTTACCGTTCTGATTCTCTCCTCGAAAACGTTTCTTCGCTCTACTTGAAATATCAGTTGTCTCATTTTCCAATTTCCAGATCGTTTCGTTCTCCTCCTAGGACATCACGATCCGACAATTTCTCTTCCTCTTCTTTATCGCAGCGAGACTCTTCGCGTATAGCACCACAGTTCCCCGTCGAAACGGTACGCACGTGTGTAAGCCTAATTCGAATTAGCGTTAGTGTTTTACATATAAAGGGTTTTCATCTGGATTCCCACGAAGCCGCAATTCTATATTTATTGCTACTATACCGCAACGAATGCAGACAAGGTGGATGTTGAGTAGCCTAGGAGCTCGAATCAAGCACCATAGAGCAACATACGAAAATCTGCACGCTGCCGGCGATACAATAGCACAAAAGCGTCGTGGATAATAATCGCGACACTTTTAAAAAACAGTTCTACCAAGTTCTCTGTTTTCAAGCTTCTCGCGAATCTATCGATTAAGAAACCTGCCACTATCGCCGTATGGCAGTTGTACCGTGCCGCCCTCGTTCACTTCGAAGCATAGATCAGCTTGGAATTTTGGAGGAGACACCTACTTCGCGACCTCTTCGAGTCTCAAGCGAGTTGTTTTTCAGTTAGGATGTAACTTTGCACCGATCTATCAAGTATATAACCAAATACAACCTATCTATCGAGGATCCTTGATACCTTGAGAACTAAAGATTGACCCAGATCTTATGTTCTCTGATCTAGGTCGAGTGGAGAAGCATCTTTCCGATAGATCTAGTCCTGTTGATGTTACAAAATACTGTCCTCTCCTGTTGCAAAGTGGTAGATCACAGCTTGCTTCATATAGATCCAAGGGTCCTGCGCTTTGACGTCGATCAGTGTGATTTTCCTCGTGATTTCTAGCTTGACGGCTATATTAACAAATCGAGAGTTGAAGTTAACGCATGTCACACGCTATTAGAGTTAGTTAGAAGTTTCCCAAGTATCGATACTCTGGACCAATTGGATCGTTGATTGCGAACAATGTGGCACAGCTGTTATCTAGAAGTCCATCGAAGGTCAGCCAATGATGTCATTGAGATAGACGTTGATTTCTCGTCGATGATCGGGAACTTATCGGACTGATGTAAGCCATCTTCTAGGATGTGCGTGTCGCAGGCTCTCTAACTTAACCAGAAAGAGAGCTCGTATAGAAACGAGGAACGAGTCCACTCAAGTGTCTTCTCCATCGTTGAAAGAACTGTGAGGGAGAACCGCTTGGTATATCTCGAGCGAGCGACGAACGTATGTTACGAGGGCGTCGTTATACGGTAGGAAAACGGCAGGGCAATCGCTATCCGTGAGAGGAACCGTGTGGATAAATGGGGTTACAGATAGATAAATAAAAAAGGGGGGAAACAGAGAAGAAGACCCTCCAAGGTTGCGAGATTCCAATGTTCGCGGACGCCTGATGATTGTTTCCCGCGCGGCGTTACGTCGATGTGTCTACGTCATAATACAAATTAAGATAATGAAATGATAATAATAATAAACTCTGTAATATTTAATATAGGTTTGTTCACACGGACTAGATACACTTCCCGCAGAGCGACAAATCGATCGATACCGCTCTCTCCCTCTCGAGCACGACATTTTTCTCTTTACACTCGTCTCTTGGCTACGCATCGCGTTCGAAAGGTTACAGGATCAGGTTTAAGCTGACACAGCATCGGTCTGTTGTGGAAGGGGGGGTTTATGACGCGTGATCGATTGAATACATTGACCATTGTGACGCATGCTTGCCGCATAATCGGCTGGAGAGGTCGCGGTTTGTTAACGATCACCAACGCACACGTCGTCGCGTACAGAGGATCCTCTTCGTCTCGCGCGTTTAATCGCGCCTCTGGTATACCACTCGTCTCTTCTCTCTTCGTTCTCGCCTCCTCCGGCACGCGAGAAACCACCGCCGCTATGACATTGATTGCACTTCGTGATAATCGCATCTCCTCGCGCCTCCACGCGCGTCCGTCCACTCCATCGCTTCCGTTATTAGTTGCTAGGCAATCGTCTCCCGCCACAAGATGGCAGAGACTGGTGCACAGGATCGTGTGCAACCGTACTACCAGCAACTCCAGGTCAACAAATACGCGAACCGTGATTGCAACGACTACGGGTCAACGTTCCGTGACCCACGACGTCTTCTTCCGACGTCGTTTGTGCATCGACCGGCTCGCCGTGCCGCTTCATCAGAACAGGCTGCAGCACTTGGACGCGTCGCCAAGGTGGATCTGGCAAACAGTTGGTAAAGCGGTGCAGCCTTTTCCTACCACGCCGTCCTGTACCAGATGCGACAGGCCAAGATTCTGGTTGATATCGCCGTCGCTACCGCGATGCTGATGCTTCCCGCCGCACCATTGCTGACGTGCTTGCCACTTGTCATCAGCTGTAGCGCAGAACAGCATAGACTTCGGAGACGGCGGGCTAACGCGATCTCGAGCGATGCTACCGCAGGATCGAGCCTTGTACAATCGTCCTTTGCCGAACAGACCAGGCAACGGAACGCAGAGCTTCTTGTGAACAGCAAAATACCGGCTCAGCAACCGTATCTTCCTGTTCTTGCAGTCGTTCCTGTTCACCGAGCCGTTTCTGTTCTCCTTGTTGTTGGACGGCGGTACATGGTTCACCGAGCCGCCATTCATCTCCTTGTCGTCGCAGCAGATCTCGATCCTCTGACACCCGTCACGCTGCACTTCCTGCTTCACACACCTGCCATTGGGACTGTTGCAGTTGTTCTGCTTGTTAGACGGCTGCGATGATATCGAGGATTTGTGGCTGGTACTAAGAGACCAACTCTGCAAAAGCCTAGCTCCGAATCCTTTCGCCTTTTGTACCGTGGCTGCTGCCTGAGATATAGGCTGAGAGCTGACGGCGTGCGAGGTTGTGCTGCTCTGAGACACCGATGACGACGACGAGGATATACTTTGGACGCCCAGAACGGCGGAATTACGCGAGACGTGACAGTGACTGTGACAAGACGACGGCCCTTCCGCCTCTTGCACTTCTGTGATACGATTAAGCGACTGACTCTCCCGCAGCCGCGTTTCTCCAGCTCTTCTCCTACCAGCGCGATGTCTTCTACCGAATATAACCTGATTTTCCGAGCATCGATGCCTTCCTCCGGTTGTCGTAGTCGTCGTGGTGGTCGTATTCGTCCCGTTTCCGCTATCCTGTCGATTCGTCTCGCTCGGCGGTGATTCTGTGCCGTGTTCTCCGTTTCCTACACCTCCTCCGCCTCCTCCTCCTCCACCACCTCCGCTTCCTCCTGGATCCTGCGAATCGCTGGAATCGTCGTGACTATCTCGTCTAGAAGGCATCGATTTTCCAGCAGAGGTGCCTAACTTATGCGCCCTCTTCTTCCTGCTCTCGCTGTCGTCATCGCTGGCGTCTGAACTTGAACACGAGGTTGTGCGTGTTTTGTGGAACTTGCTCTTCCTCTGTTCGTACCCGGTCCTCCTCACCACGCGACACTTGGAGCCGCTGCTCTCGTTACCAGAAACAGGCAACGCATCTCCGTCCTCCAAAATCTCGTTCAACGGCGTAGACGTTGAACCAGTGCTTCCTGGCGACGGCATGGTCTTATATTTAGGCGTCAGCGATAAGATGTTATCATTCAGCGAGCCCAAAGGTCGCAGCGGAATCGATACCGTCGACGACTCTGTTAGAATAGTGGTTGTAGTGGTCGTAGTAGCTGTTTCAGCTGATTTCGCCGAGCCCATCGTTAGAGAAGGGTCCAACGACGATGCTGAGGACCTGTGTTGAGCTCCCATCCTCCATTTATTCGCTGGAACAGGTCCTACTGACTTCAGACAGTCGGATACCGACTTCGGCCTATTCTCCGTGCATCTTTTCCGCGACCAGCCAGGAAGCGACCCGTCGTCCAGACGGTTCTTCAGGTTCTCCTGGCTGGTGGAGTCGAGATTCGTTGCTGCAGGTACATTGTCCACGAGCTGAACGCTCGCTTGAAGCTTGCCCGTTGCTCTCTGTAAGACAGGCGACGAGGAATCGTTAGTGTTCCCGCTATTTGGACTAGACTTTAGTCGCTCCTCTCCATCGACGATCACAGGAACCACGTTGATGTCCTTCTGCGAGTTGCGCTGGGACGATAATGGCTTGTGACACGGTTTCTCCGGCAGCTGTGATAGCCTCTCTTGCAGAATATGAGACAGCTTGCCTTCTGAACGAGAACCGCGGCGGTTGAACGAGTTCAACGCGGAGTTGCTCCCGCGCTCGTCGCGACCAGAGCACGAGGACACGTCGTCCTCGTCTTCTTCCTCTTGCACGATGCTACACTTTCGCGTTCGAATGTTCTGCAAAGAGAATAGGCTTAATTTCTCTTCGGTTTGAAGGATTTCGTGTGGACAGATCGTTGGTTCGTTCGTAAAATCTCTTCTTTTTAAAGATCAATGGATACTTACCTGAGACACGTCACCTGGCGTACGAGGCACGCTCAACAGCGACTGGTTAACCGTGGTTAATGAATTTTGGTCGGCACGCAGACTGCTAGCCACGTCGTCTTGTCGACTGAAAATAACCAATAAGCTCATAGATCATCGGTACACGTATGCTCTCCTATTTAGGCGAGTCTTGACGTATTCACGTATTGCATACCTAGGCGAGACTTCGAGAATTTCCGGTCTAACCTTCTGCACCTGCTCCTGACGATGAGCGCGCAACTTCCTCTCAGCTAGCAAGAAATACGTCGCCGTTATGTGATTGTACTCGTTCTTGTCCAGGGCTCTGCAACGTGTTTGAAGAAAAAATTATTCTCTGTAATTGTAACTTTCCTTTTAGCTTCTAAGACAATTACAAATTGCAAAAGAAGAGTAAATCTCGCTGACTAGGTACACACGGTGTCTTGTACTTCATTCTAACTTGATTACAACGCTAATGTTCCGCAAAAACCAGGACGAAAATGGATCTTCCAGGAAATTAACTCCACTTACTCTAATATCTCTTCTTTGGTGGCAATGTTCCCGTTCACCATCTTGGTAATTATGTGATTGTGATGATCGTCGGACACCTGTTGCCTGGAGATCAGAGGCAACGTTTCCACTGGATCCACGTCGGTTCCAGCGGCCAGCCAAGGATCAGCCGCTATTTCCTCGAGCGTTGCTCTACCCTCTGGCTCTCTGACGAGCATCTTCGCGATCAGACGTTTACAGCTGTCCGAGACACGAGGCGGAATCGAGTATTTACAGTCCATGATCATCGTCAGGGTCTCGCTGTCGTTCGCCTCGTGGAAAGGTGCTTGACCGCACACCAGCATGTACAAAATCACGCCGAGCGACCATACATCTGGGGAACAACGCGAATGAGAATGGCAAACAGAGGGTCCAGAATGTGAATGAATTGAAGCCACTTCGAGGCCTGATGAGACACTGAAGGGAAGGAGAGGTATAGGTGGTTTAGATAAGTCGTTAAGGTTGTACTGTACTTACGGTTAAGCTAAATTAGGTTGGTGCGAAGCTGCAAATTGTGAGAAAGTTGCCGGAAGATGTTGACATTGAACGATGGATTAATACAGCGGCAATGGTAATATGATTTTTTTTGTATTAAGGATATGCTAATTTTGGACGTTGGACAAACATACTTTTTTTTATGTCAAAATTGGAAATTATTTTGTTTATCATTGATTAACGAGAAAAGTGTACCAATTAAATAAATTTACTAAGAAACAATGAATTTATTCTTAGAGACAATAACTTTTTAATACCATGGTGTCCCAATATTAATGCAGACCGCTGTAGGTGAAACGAGGAAAAGGAGAATTTCATGTGAAGAATGTTACAAAGTAGGAGAATTTTGAAGAGATGACCGAATTATTTTTATTTATTTACCAATCATCTTGCCTATAATGAATACTAAATTCAGACGAATTTCTGCAATATATCACTCTATCACAATTTCTGCTAACTACTTAACCCTTTCGTGACTCAATTATTTTTCTAAATAATTTCCAATTAGTTACCAATAATCTAAATTGCCATAAATTTTCGTTAGACCACTCAAATAAGAGACACGCACCCCCCTAACCGTAAAAGGGTTAAAAATCCTCATTCCCCGATGAGCTATTAAAATACTCTAAACATTCGACAAACACTTCCACTCTCGGTCAGATATTAAACGGGAAAAGTATGTACCGCGTAATTCTCTTACATAACTGTTTTACTTCAGAATCAGTCTGTTAGTCTAAACTGTTGAAAGAATGGTTCTAAACGAACAATTGTCACGAATGAACTAATTTCAACTGTACTCACCGACAGCAGGAGCATCGTAACTATCCCCAAGCAGGATTTCCGGCGCCGAATACGCCAGGGAACCGCAGGAAGTCTCGAGCTTCTGTCCAGGACAGAATTTATTGCTAAAGCCGAAGTCGGTGAGCTTCACGGTGCCGAGTTTCTCGAAGAACACCACGTTCTCCGGTTTCAGGTCCCTATGCACCACGTGCAATCGATGGCAATACGATATGGCTCTGACTATTTGCCGGAAGTACGTTTTGGCCACCTGTGATCAATTAAAAAGTGTATACATATCGGTGAACAGCACGAACGAGTGAAAGAAAAAAGGAAAAGTGGCTACTACGTCCTTGGAGTTTCAATTAATCACGTGGACAAAGAGGACAAAGACATTCTTTTATTGTTACATATATATATTCCCAGTTCTGTGAAAATTGACGAATGAACGAACGGGTGAAATTGTTCAGTTTGTTTTCAAGAATTCTCCATTTTCAACGTTCCATATAAATGAACAAGGAACGGCTCGAGTCTTTGGAATACGATGAGTAACACTTTGCTTGTGATTCATAAAGTAGTGCATGATAAATAATGAATGCAACAAGACGTTTCAGTCAATGGTGTATAATTGTTATTAATAGAACTACAGATACAGTTAGGCGGTAGAATGTTAATGTATCTAGAATACGTCTGGTGCGAATGATGCACCTTGTTTCATGGTACGTATAGCGTGAATGAAACACCCTTTGGAACAGCACCGGTGTCGCATTTTTTATTTATCATTATCGAGACGATTAATTTAGAAATCTGAAACATTCCTTGGATCCTTGTGTCGCTCTTCTTATTTATCATTAATGAGACGATTAATTCAGAAATCTGAAAAATTCCTTGGATCTTCAAAATAGTTGAAACGTGAAAAAACACAATATGATCAATTTATCAAGTTCTTCCAAGTACATTTTTTTTTTCAAAATGATGCAAATAATACTGAGACTACATGGTAGAGTCGAGTTCATTAAACATAGGAAGTTATTCCTACTACTTTCTTGGAATATTCGGAACACAATATTTCCGACTGAAACGAACAACGTCGATACCAAAGATCCCTACAGAGAAATATAGGGAGATAGAAAATTAGACTCCGTCGTATTCGTCGTTTTTGCGTCAATAGAAAATATCAAATTACCGAGAAAACGTCGCCGAGAAACTCCCGGTAAGAACGTTCAGTGTGAACCGAACGCGTAAAATGACTTGATTTTCTCGACAGAACAGGATCATTACGTGCAATAGGTTGAAACGATCGCGATATACCTCCTCGCTGAGGCCGCTGTCGTATCGCATGATGTAATCGTAGAGGTCGCCTCCATCGCCGAATTCCAGGATCAGGTAAAGCTTCGTCTGCGTGTCTATCACCTCGTAAAGCCTGACCACGTTCGGATGTTGCACCAGCTTCATGCATCTCACCTGTGGAAAACACGGTGAGAAAGGAAGGAGTACGGTGGAATTGTTCTATTACATGTACGAACTTGGATCGTTTGAACATTTACTGCCGCTGATGCTTGCCTCTCACACCAACACACATGGTCAACGACCTTTTCTCCTTCCCTCTCGCGCCATTATCTCGTTGACCTTAACGAGATCTACAAGTTCGAAGCGGATCGTAGATCTTTCCTACGCGATGCCGTCGAGAGCGGATCTTACGCAATGGCTTGTTAATATTTAACATCGAATGTCGCGGAACGATGGAGATCGTGCTCGTAGGAAGTTGGTAGGTACATGTCAGATTCTCTTTCGTTCGCACGTTTTAGTAAATATAGGTTAGGTTTTTGTTTTCGTGGATTGAGTATTGGGTGAATTTTAAGTCTTTTCGTTTAACGGTGGCACACGTTGTTAGATTGTTATATGTTATTTTTCAATAGCAGTGTGCCATTTGGGAAATTGAAAATGTAATCTGCGCTGCGTGGGGCACCCGTGACCCACGTTATTATATTATTATATGTTATTTTTCAATAGCGGTATGCCACTTAGGGTATTGAAGATGGAATCTACTATGCGTGGGTCATTGATGGTCGTCTAATCTACAATGCGTGGGTCACCGATGATACTCTAATCTACTATGCGTGGGTCACGGATGGCCCTTTAATCTGCAACGCGTGGGTCACGGATGGCCCTTTAATCTGCAACGCGTGGGTCACGGGTAGCCCTTTAATTTACGCTGCGTGGGTCACCGATGATCGTCTAAATCTAAAATGCGTGGGTCACCGATGGCCCTTTAATCTACGTTGCGTGAATCACCTGTGGCCCACGTCGTTGCATTTGTCATAAAATTTATATTTTTAATAACAGTATGCCACTTGGGGAATTGAAAACGTAAGCTACGCTGCGTGGGTCACCCATGGCCCACGTCATTGCATTCATCATATGTTATTTTTTTTTATTAACAGTATGCCACTTGAGGAATTGAGAACGTATCGCTACGCTGCGTGGGTCACCGATGGCCCACGTCATTGCATTCATCGTATATGTCATTTTTTTTAATAACGGTATGTCAGCTAAAAAATTGACAACGTAATCTCCACCGCGTTTTACGTCTCGATAGAAAAAGCGAGAATTAATAAAGAAACTTGTTGGTAATGACATAATAGTACTACGATATAACGCAATAGTACAGCAATAAACGAATAAAATGTAACTCGTAAAGCATAGATCAATAAGATATGTAACTTCTAAGTTACACGGTGTTATAGAGGGTTAACTCCACCCTCGAAATCGTAACAATGGAACACCCCGTACAATCCATCAAAGATCCACTATCCAGAGCTTCCACCCAATCCCAACTTACCACACCTGAACGCCCACCATCGCAATTCGCGCAGACTACCGAGACTCCGTTCGAAAAACATATGACGCAACCCCTAACCCTTCAAGCATCATCACTCCCGAGAAGCAGAGATCTGAAAGCTCCCACAGAGAGCGAGAGAGGGAAAGAATGTAGTAAAAAAAACTCGTGCTCAAGCACGATACGCGAGGTGCAGCACGGCTATTGAGCGAGCAAACGGAAGGAAGGGATTAGCACGCGTTTCCATTTCCTTCTCGACTCGCTTTGTGCACGGCCGTATTTCCATTCACGCGGCGCGCAGGGGGACAGGGACAAAGGGATGAAGGATACGCGGTCGCCTTCGTCTCGTCTCGCCGTGAAGAAGACGAGACGAATGGAGAGGAGAAAAAAAAAAAGAAAAAAAAAAACATTTACAGCGCACGCATGTGTGTGCTTACCTCCTGAAAGAGGTGCGCTCTCGAGACCTCGTCGAGTTTACTCTTGTCGATGACCTTCACTGCGACCTTCTCGCCAGTGAAAACATGCCTTGCCAGCTTCACGACGGCGAAATGACCGCGGCCAAGCGTCTCCTCCAAGTCGTACAGGCCGGCGATCTTGCCATCGTAGTTGCTGTACCCCACCCTCCGATGCATCTCGTGTCGCTGAAACACGATGGAAAACAAGACGGTGAATGGCGGAATCAGTTCGTGCTGCGGTGAAACTTGTTCCGTTTCGAAAATCTTCGGACCAACCGTGACGCAGACCAGAGATCTCGTTTCACGGACGAGACCTCTTTGGAAGCCGTGGTACAACACAGTTGGAAAATTCGTAGGTTCCGGGTATACGGAAGGATGGTATATACAGAGTGGAAACGCGGTTTCTGAAGTTTGTGCAGATTGTATAGCTCGTCGAGGGCCATTTATGCTGATGAGGTTTTTCGTTCGAGCCCACTTTCCAACTTAAGAGGCCAGGGATCTTTGAATATGGTAATTGGCAACGTCTATTTCTATTGGTGGTATTCTATCCACATTATGGATATTACGTGTTACATCGCGGTATATACAGGACAGATAGTACAATCGGGCGGGCAAGTGATTTTACATGCATAGATAAGTCGAAAAGATAGAATGAAATTTTTTCACCAGAGACTTGGTTTTTGAGAAAATTGAATTTTAAGATTTGATATGAACTGTTGCTTCCGTTTATAATTTTACGTTGGCAGACAGTGATAATATCTACTAATGTAGAAAGATAATGTTTTTAAAAAAACCGTACGACGATTATATTATTGTACCTTTGGAAAGTGGTTAGACTTCCGCTCTATGTACCAGAAGTTTCATGATTATTTTTAAGTCTGTCTTTAATGTTAAAGGTCTGTATCTTGGACACCTTTTGAAATAGAACGGTCGCCTATCCGTTCTCTGCGAAAATGCAGAAAGCTGTTTGTGATTTCATTAATAAAAAAAAATCGATAGGGATAGGTTTAGAGCAGTCTATAAAAAAAAGAGAACCTTGCGGCTTGAAAATATGTAATTTTGACGTTCAAAAAGATTCTACTGTGCTTTAAATAAAGGATTAATAAATAGTTTCAGAATAACTATCGTAAAATCCTATCTTAATATTCATATACTCGTCAAAATCATACTGTTTTTTTTTATAAACAATCATTAAGGACACCCCATTGTCTAAGAACAACTTCAACAAACTGTTTACCGTGAAATTCAACCTTTAACCAACAAGGGGGTCTCCACAAATAGCGTATTTTTTCCATAAACAACGTAACATTTAGAACTCCCTCGTTATCCTCTCAGATGGTTGGCACGCACCAACTTCCACGTCAAATTTTTCAAGCGGTGAACCCTAACGTAATCACCTTAGATTATTTTGTTAGTGGACTGATCGAATTTTTTTATGTATCACATAACATGATTCAAAGAGGATCTCAAGATAACTATAATACACTTTCTAAGTTTTTTCTTTTCATAAGTTCTCAACGTCACTTTCATTTTGTAATACTTAACCTATAATTTTTTACGTTCATATTTTAGTGAATATTAAGAAGAATTCAGCAAACATCATCGAATATTTGTTTCCATCATCTGTGCTAAAGAAACAGTAAAAAAGAGTATTCTAATAAAAAAGTACCTATCCTAACATTAAAACAAGTGCAGATGTCATAAAAAGATCTAAGCACTTATTGCAGCCTTTCGTGACTGTAGTTATGCATAAAAAAAGCTGAAGGTGACCTGAAAAAAAAAAGAAAGGATACTATAATCATCTTAAGGGCATCTCTGAACCATATTATACGACATAAAAGTATCGGTCTAACTAACAACAGAATTATTTAAGGTGATCACGAAATACGGTTCACCCTGTATATCGGAACGCAAGCATCATAAATTTCTTTTACCGTTCCAGACATATTCTGAGCTCAAATACAATAAACGTTCTCACTATTTACAGGCCACTTCGTGTCCTAACATCGCGAGGTGGTCGCACGTTGTCCGGAGAAACAATTCGAGCACCATGACTGTAATAGCGACGTGCACGTGCTGCGTGCGCGCGAACATTACATCCGCAAGCAGCAACGAATCGATTGTCCACCTTATATGGAAAATAAATTTCTACGCCTACGGGACGCGTTAGGATCAGGCTCAAGGTAGTCGTGTTACACACTCTCACTTTTCCACCGCTTCTTCGTCTATGGGAGTGGCGCTGGCCAGTGATGCCAGAATCGTGGGACGTGGGCCAAAGCGCTTGCCCCCACTATGACTTACCGTCGTCTCCCACTATACCGTCCTCGTGCTCTCACACAAGTGTAGGGGTAGCTCCGTCCGTATGCGTAGCCTGTTCGGCACTTTCCGCCAACAATCTACGTCACCACGTGACACTCCAGCAACCTGAGCGCATGAGTAACAATCAGGAGATTCCCTTTGAATCTCGATGCGACGGTGTTACTTGAACATCACTTAAACTTCCAAAGTTTTATAGAAGTAATTTTAATTGTTTATAAAAAATGCGCAGCGAAATGAAATATTTTACAGAATGTCATTTTTCGACTTCTAGATTCATCCCTCCAAATTTCATTGAAATCTTCGGAGGTCAGGTATGCAGTCTTCTTGTTAACTGCTTTGCACATCAATATTTCTCAAATTTTTTATTTCACTGAAAAATTACAAAATGAAATTACAAAATAATTAAAAATAAAAAGTAACCGTTGCACCGAAATTCAAAGGGAATCTCCTGTTTGTTACTCATGCGCTCAGGTTGCTGGAGCGTCACGTGGTGACATAGATTGTTGGCGGAAAGTGCCGAACAAGCTACGCACACGGACAGAGCTACAGCTACCTTGTGTGAGAGCACGAGGCCGGTATAGTGGGAGGCGGGGGTAGGTCATAGTGGGGGGTAAGCGCTTTGGCCCACGTCCCACAATTCTGGCATCACTGGCGCTGGCTTCGCTCGTATATAAGGGTAAACGAGTTTCGCTTCCGGCGTCCCTTCCGGAACACCGAAAACGGCATTCGGCTTTACTGTGCAAAATCGATCGAACCCCGTTCTCACTCGTCCACCGTTTTCCACTGCAACGAGTTTCATGGATCGGGAAAAGAGGGTCGTGATTATTTTTAGCCGAGAAGAAGGAATAAATAAGCCGGCCCTTGACGATCGACTGAAACGATCGATCGGTAAAAAAGGTTCCTGACAGATTGGCCGAGGCGTGCTGGAAAGGTGGTCACGTACCGATTATAATTTGCGATCCAGGGCTCGTCGATTGTTTTAGCTGCACGCGAAATTGCTTTCTTATTGTTCGTTACTGTACACACCGTGAACCGGTGTTCTCGTCGATCGACGAAAAGGGGACTCGAATAATTTATCGCTCGATTCGAATGCACCGGTCCTGATTTCCAGCCGTAATGATCGCACTTACGACGAAATTGAATTGTTAATAAATCAAACGCGATTCAAGCAGTAAAAACGCCGTATAAAACAGCAGTGAATGAATGAAATCGAATTAGAAGAGCGAAACGACTCGTTTAGCTGTTTTTTTATACGGGTCGAAGATAGATATGGATCTGGAAATATCGATGGAATAACCCTGAACAAAAATTTCATAATGCACATTTCCACTCATTGTTTAGAGTATTATTTTTTTACGTGTATATTTATTAATATATACAAACTGATCAGATAACAGGAACGTGCAAGTCGTAATCACTATAACAATCTGGATTTAAATAACGGTACTCTTGCAACATTTCTGACTGTACTGTGTAGAGTTGCGATGTAAAATGGCTCGATATAGATCGGCTCTAAGTAATAATGCATAATACGATATGTAGGGAATTTACGTGGTTAATGAATAATAAAACAATGTTAAAATGCAGAATGGTAGGAGTAACGCTAAAATTCATAGGAACGTATAGTTCGTTAAAGCGATATAGTGAGGTCGTAAAATCAGTCAGGCGTCAAAGTACACGTAATCCGAGCGTGGAAACAACTGTTTGAGGGAGATAAACAGAGCCTCGTTCAGGGCCGTAGCTGTCAACTCGGAATTAGTTGTTCCGTTAAAATTTTAGTATAGCTTTGGTATAATTAACTTTTAGTAACTTCAATAAAGAATTGTAAACAGAAATTTTAACTATCAATTCACACATAACGTATGATCCTGGGCGTGGTATTTACAATCTCACTATATCGGTATCACACACTGTCTATACAAATAACTGAAAAAAGAAATGTGATTCATCCCTCCTACGGTTAAACTCCTGTTGAAATTGCACGCTTTCCAAGAAAACCAGCAAAAACACATCGTTAAAACGAGTAGTTTCTAACAGACCACCCTGTATATGCAGAAGAGTGCGAACCGTTTAAAGTGAGCGAACGCCCATAACCCAAGTGCAACACATACACTTTGTACAATAATTTCCTTACAACGGTGTCGTAAAAATAACTGACCTGTAAAGCCTGGGGATATTAAATATTCCTCGTGTTGAAACCTGTCACGAAGAGATAGAGAGAGAAAGAGAGATCAACAGAGAACGCACTGTGAGGAGGAGGATACATCGCATGGATAGTCACGAATATTTGTTCGACAGTGAGACACGCGTCACGCCAGTTCCGGTTTCTTTCCGAACCATCAGGCTACGAAACACATTTACGTCAGGACTACGTCGGTAACCGTCAAAGCTGAGACGATACATGGCTAGAAGAAGCTTCATCCATCGACTCTCTCTCTACACGCTATATCTCGTCTATTCAAGAATGGAACAGACGCAAAAATACATTTTCTTTGAAGTGCACGGAAGTATGAAAGGAACGAACAAAGGCGTGCATATAAGACAGTCCCCGGTTATCGTGCACGCCAGTTAAAATTAAACATGTAACGTAGAGAATTTACGCGAGCGGCAACAATCAACGAGGAAAACCTTACGTCTACCTCTCTTTCTGATCTCGAAAATATTTGGATGAATTATGATGCGCGTGCATCGGCATTTCATAACGCAACGATACGGTTCCATAATCCTTACACTACCACCTTACATAAGCGACGCGAACGAGTACGTGTAACAAGTGAATTTATTTTTCCCTACCGCACGGCGCGATTCGTTCATCGATTCGAGATTTAACAAGCTTGTTTACTCGTCCGCTGAATAAATGACGTAAAAAAGAATTGTCCGGCGGTCGAGTGCCTTAGATATTAGACGCGGTACGCGACCATAATTTTACGTAATTGACGATTAATAATATTGCGGAATAAGAGAGGGCGGTAAGTCAACACATGGACCCCTCAAGACGTTATCGACCAATGGTATACGAGCGTGCTTGAGAGAAATTCTTCCTTGGAACACAACCGATAGTCGTTGCATGCACACGTGTGCCAGAAAACTTCTTCGTATTGTCCGATCGGGTGGGCACAGGCAGACAAAAGTGCCGGTTCTAAGAAAAGCGAGCATGGAGTGTCGAGACTTGTGTCTACACTCTCGAGGCCAGTCTAGGTTACAAAGTTAGTCGACCATTATTTTTGGTCGAATTGCTCTGTCACGAAGCGTATTTCTACTATCTTGCTAGGCACAACAGCCAGACAACCGTTTCGTCCCGATTAAAATGCACGGCATGCGGAAAAAGCTTTTACAATGGCTATCGGTTAATTTATAATTGATTCGATGTACTATTTGGTGTCATCGTGTACGTCATCATTGACGAACGAATTTACGCGGTGTTAAAACCTCCATTGGGCATCTTGCCGCAATGGAATTCGCAAGCATCGTCTCCATAATAAAATTGTTCGGTATTAGAGAGATAAATTGTTCGTAGATTTTAACTTGTTCTTCGTAGAAATTATTACAAACTATGTTATATAAATAACATTTTACACGATAACGATATTATGTTCCAATTCCGTAGGAACTTTAAAAAAAAATCCTAACCTCAAAATTAATACTGGGACAAAGCTATACTTACTCCTTGTATTTAGTTTACGATATGAAAACAATTCAACTGACCTATAAAGCCGCGTTTATCGGAGTAACACAACTATAATTAATCGGTAATTAACAAAACATTCAGATAGAAGTCCAAAGGTTCAAGTCCATCGTTGTGTTCCCACCTAAAATCAGGCCACATTCACTGCATCATTCAGTAATTAAACCAGAATAACTGCACGCGTAAATTTCAACTGAACTCTCTGTATCAATTTCAATGTGAAAAAAATCTCACTAAGAGCTTATACGTGTCATTACATCATATCTATATCGTGCACTAATAGCGAAACAAGATCAGGCCGCCGAGCGTGCTGCCTTTAGCCCATCTCCGTTCCTCTCCACTTTGAAATACTCAAGGGTATCTTATGGAACTTGCTATTACCGTGTACCTAATTAATTTTATCGCGTTCATCAGTGGTTACCTGTACCTATCGAGCGGCCGATATTCCGGAACTCGCGTCGCGGCCGCCGCCACTGCACGGGAAACGAATGAACGAGAATACGGATGCTGTCTGTATACAGCCAACTTTCAAACGTTTCAGCGGTGCGAGCGTGAAAAATCTACAATACGTCGATACGTCCAAATATCTCGGCACGACTGATTGGTCTTGACATTTTGCCGATAACAATCTTACATTTACCCCGACATCACACAGCATCCACCTGCGCACGACGCGTATCTGTCGGTCGCCCGTTGACCTGGTTCCGTTGTTGCATACGGACTACAACGAGTCGCGGGGCTCTGCCTATCAACCGAAGATAAAACTTTTACGGTGCCCCCTCGGACACACCATGGCGGGAGGACACGCGCCACGACTCGGAAACTATGTTATCGACGCACCAGCGTTACATAACACTGGAGGAAGTGTAAACTCGTGCACCACGGATCATTGCATTCCTCCGCGAATGAACGACGCGACGAGCTTATCACGACAGGCGTGTATCGGTGATTCAAGTTTCAGAAGAAAAAAAGGAGGAACGAGGACAGCGTATGAATGTTCGAATAAATTTGCTATGTCGAAATGATCGTTTGTACTGTCGAGTTTTCAAGGGAGCATATACGTCGATAGATGGTAATGGAATTGTTAGGACGTTTGAATAATTTCAAACGAGAGGAAGTTTGATTCCGGAGATTGACAAAGTTGATAACCACTGTTATAACATACCGACACGCACCGAAAACAGATAATCATGAACGTGGGTAAATTGGATTTGGGTACGTGGCAACGGAGATACCTAAGCCGGTCATGCCAACGGAATCACACGTAGGATTATCCAAAGTAATTCAATTACGATTCGTAGTCAATTTCACCGCAAGGACACGTTATTTGCATTCTCTATGTAGAAATTCGTTAAATTAATACTGTGGCAACCGTGCTATCTCAGCGGAATGTACACGGTCTTTCCAGTTTGACTTTTAAATATAATAGAAAAGGTACATATTCAATGAGAGAAACGTTTAATTTTCTGTAAAGCATCAAATTCACTGATGCAGGGTGGTTTGTAAAATACATACAGTGAAATCGAGAAGAAAGTAATTTCTCGTGAGAAAAAGTCAGTGAAATTTTAAATGTGGCATTTAACATGGCACATTTTAAATACGGTTTATTTTTCTCAAAGTAGAATCATCACCGTTCCAATTATACCTCAATTATTGAATCACCTTGTATATATAGGTTATGACATCGTTAAAAAAGGTCAGTCCATTTCACCGTGACGTTCTAACCTAAAAGAGGGAAGATCGGATTTCCCTAAAGCGCGGCAACGTAATTCCCAGGGTTCTAGATTAGTCAGAAATCAACAACCAATCAGCGGTGATTCGTTGGAAAGTAAAAAAAATTTCATTAGAGAGTAATTTCACCGGGAGAAACAAGATTCGTCGGATAGAACTCGTTAGCGTTACGAAAAGATCTACGACTATGCATCTGCGAGGGACACTGAGCTAAGGTCACGCCATCATACGTGAGATCTTCTCATGAATTTCATTTCTATCGATATCTCTGCAAGTGAAATGCCAACGACTCGCATGACGTGCCGTTAATAAATAAGCAAAACATAGAACAGCACTGCCTACTTCTGCTTAATGCAACAGGAGTGAATTAATCGCTCGTTCAGTTTCTCGTAAGAGCCATCGACCACATACTACGCTTGTGAAAGCTACGAATAACACGACTTTTCCTCGATTCTCTTTTTTATCATTGATTGCAAATTAATTGCACAGGCCATTGGAGATAATACGCTGCTATCGTTATTTCCAACAAAAGAATTTTTACCAGAAAGATAAAAACGAGAATTGCTTTGCATATTTATGCAAATACAAAACAATTATCCTCTGCGATGCTTTCATTATCATGGTTCGTCAATTTTCGCGATCCTTGAGCTGTTTTACCATCGCCGTACACTACCGGTCACGTGGTCACACTTTCCAAGCGGCGAAGTATGTCGATGTAAAAAGGAAAAAGTAAAAAAAAAAAGACAGACAAAAATGCGGATTGCACAATAACCGCGTTATTTCGTTAAAAAGTACGTTTTGCAACTGCAGGAAAAGGTGGAAGGAGGACGGTGATCGACGTGTGCGCACGGACCCCCGTGAAATTCACGATTTAACAGGCGATAACCTATGGTAATGTGTAATGTAAACGCACTAGCACGAGTGCGTAACAGGTAGCGCTCGCGTACCGTTACCAAGATTCCTCGAGTCTTTGACACGAGGCGGAAGATGCCGGGTGTGCCGCCGCACGCGGAAACCTCTAATAATCCACAACGTCGGATAAAACGGTTACCGATACTGTCTCTCTCTCTCTTTCTCTTTCTGTGTATTGTCTTAGCTGTTTATTCGACCTCGAAAGGCGAGAACAATTAGGAACGATTAGAATGTTTCTCTTCTCCGCGACCATAGAGCTTGAGAGTGAGACAATTTCACGGGTGCAATGCGACGAAGTGCATGCGTGCATTCCACGATATCCGGAGAGTAAGATAGAAACGGACAGAGAAGGTTAGAGAAAGACAGACAAACGAAGTAGAGACTCTGTAATCTGTATCCGTGAGACGATGGTATATCGTGCCACGCCATTTTTAGTCGTCTCGCACTCTTTTCCTCCTCCCTTTCCTTTCATCTCTTTGACCCCTTTCTGTGACCACGGTAAACGAACGTGACGTAATAAGACATTAACATTTCAGAGAGCTCCCGGTTCGTTAACCTGCCGATAGTATCGGGGACCTCGCGCATTTTTTCTTTTTTTCTTCTTCTTTGTTTTTGAGGTCACTTTCGGAAGACATGCTCAGTCGGCGGACTATTAACGAGTTTTCATATTATGCTGATTGTGTTTAAAGAGGAGATCGAATACGCGCGATTTTCGATGCGTTGTTTCGAAACGGTAACTTCGCGCTAGTTTCTGCACAGCGCCGTGAAGCAAATACTTTCACAAATATTCTAAGCAGGTGTTCGAGATACGTTAGTTTTTTTTTTCTTTTTTTTCTTCTCCAGAGATACTGTTACAGTGAAAAGAGCGAAATCTCAGTGATGTATGTCATCAAGAATATATTTGTATACATTGAATTGTATAACGCGACTGGTGATTGGTAGATAGGGTATAACACGTGACATGCATTTTCTACAAAACGTTCGAAAGTTCTGTGTCTATTTAGTTTTAGCTCTATGCCTAAACACTCGCAGTTCAAGGTTGCAATAGGTTATGTACCTACAAAAATAAATATGACGGAATGTCAGACAAAAAGAACGCGAAGGATTTTCCCTAACATATAACGGGTGTCTAAATGGTAGCCACATAGCTCACTGTCGGCGTTTATCGCATGCAAGCAGTGCGCTATACCGTACAGGGTAGGTCGCGAATGTTTATAAACGAATCACGTATCGGCCGATACATGAGTTTTGTCCATCGTACATGATAAAAATTTCGGATACGTAATAGAATTATAATATCGATTAAAAAAAAAATGTTTTTTCATATAACAACGATTTCCGTACATGAATACCACGAAAGATTCAAGTATAGTCGAAGCGTAGGAAGTGGGAGGGAACGGTGTACACGCGGAAGAAGACAAGAAGAGGCATCAGAAGCCATTTTTACAGAAGAGTCCACTAAATGTACCGTTGAATAAAATTACACGTACCGCTTTACTCGCTAGACAGACGAATCCAGCCAGCACTCGACTTGCCTTCTCGTCCGATAGACTGTCATTTGTAACGAAGGTTCATACGCGTGTCAAACACCGCGACGATTAATATACACGGCACTTGGGGCCGTTGTTCGGCCGATTTTTCATACGTTCGCCTCGGTACACACGTTAAACCCGTCTCCTTTCGTTGTCACAAGGAGACGACGCCGACCACGCAGCTTCGCACAATCTTTAACGATCACGAAGACGACAACGACAACGACGGCGAGGATGGTTAAGTCGTCGCTGATTGCCACTCGCGCACGCACTCACGGCAATAGGATGTATGTTTACACGGCACCGCACTGTCTCTTTCTCACACTCTCGTTTGTCCACACAATACTCTTCCCTCCCCGAGACACACGGTCTGTACACCCTTCGTTGCTGGATTACCTCTTCCTTTTTCAGCTGTCTCCTCTCTGTTTCTCTCTTTTCGGGCACCCCACCCACCCGTACACCCTCTGGCCCCTTCGATCCAGCCTTACGAAGAGGAAAAGCAAGATTTCCCTGCTCCTTCCTCGAATGTAGTGGCTCGACACACTTCTAGCTTCTTCTCTCTTTTGCTATTTCGTTCCGTCCCTCTGTATCCTTCTCTCTCTCTCACTCCTTCTTTCTCTCTTCGTTCGTGTCTCTTACTCGCCCTGGTTTCTCTTTCTCTGTCTGTTCCCGTGCTCGTCTCTCACCGTCGCCTGCCTCGTCTTCTTCGTTCCACGGACTCGACCGACCCTTCCGATCTCGTGCACGCCACGCACGCTGGACCGAACACTCGCGACCGGTACTCTCACACTCTCGCGGAATTTAATTTTCCTCGAGCGATTAGATAAAACTGACGGACACCGCGAGCGTCGACGACAGACGCGCTCGCGACACCGTGACACGGGAAAGCTGAGAAAACGTACTCACCGAACTCGAGCTACGAACACTCGGGTCGCGTCTGCACGTTCATACTAACGCCACCTACTGGCGTACGTGGTACACTGTTGGCGTCATACGGACGCGGGAAAATTTGAAACGCGCAGATCCCTTTTCGCCAATTCTTTGTACAATACGATTTAAATAAGTGAAAGAAAATTATAGGAATGTATAAAATTGATAAAGTAAATTCATAAGTCCTTTACAATCAAAATTTATTGAGCTCAGTAATATCATAGAACTTGGCTGACTCTTAGTTAGTTTGTTACTTGTTAAATCACGCATCATCACTTGATACTACAGAAAAAACTTCAGTTACCGATTGAGTCAGACTAAAAATATCCAATGCAGCAAAGTGAAGGAGACTGTTCAACGAGATCTCGATAGATGTCTGTAGTATATATCAGCAATTATTCGTGAAACAATTCTAATCACTCTTATTCTATTAATTACACTAATTGCACAAGTGTTTCATAAAAATTTACCTGACAGAAAAGACAAAGTGTTTATCCCAGTCACTCTTGATCATTCTCCAACGTTGTCCAACGTTGCACCTTAATCAAAACTACGGAAACAATATCGTAACACTTCTTATATATCCGAAAAGTATTCTTACTCAATGACAAATCGCATGACTGTATAGATTCCGTGTAATTGGCCTAGTAAAATTCCGCGAACGACGCACAATCAGCCTGAATATTCCTGTAAACGAAAATTCTCCCACATGAATTAACGTTCGTAGCAACGAACGCCGCTACCACACGAATACAATTTTTGACACTTTTTCAGCATCGAACGTTTAATTCGTTCTTTTTTAATTACTTTATTTAATTTTCTTTAATCCACCGGTGTCCCATTTTCCTCTGTAACTTCCGTTTCCACACGTGAAAATAATTCGCGAATTGCTCATCGTTCCCATAAAGCGCGCAAAAAGCATATCGCGACGCAGACGCATGATTTTCTCAAATGCGACGATTCTAGCACGTGGTTCCTCCCTGGAAAGCGCGAAACATTTCGCGGTTAATAATCGATGGCGAGAGTGAACGTTTTGAAAGTATGGAAACTGTTACGATTTCTCTAAAAAATCGAAGATTGCTTTGGGTGATCGATGACGATGACGACGACCATCATCCACGAAGACGATGTCCGCGTTGAGGCGTCAGCGCGCAGCCAATCCGGCTCGGCGCCAAAATCAGCTGGCCAGTCGCGCTTTCCGGTCGGTATTCTATAAATACTGCAGACAGTCGAAGAGTGCAGCGAACACGGGAGTCGCTGTAAAATCACGAATCCCGGCGGGCACAGTTACGGGTCAGCTTCACCAACGAGTTGAACTTCGATTCTCTGTTTCTCGAGGAGACGGCTAATCGAAAATTCCAAAGTTACTCTGCATCGTAAATTTAAGGTACTTCGTGAAGTCCGCCGCTGAAGGCGGCGGCGGTAGTGGTGGTGCTTGATGACATTTTCGTGGATTAATTGTGTCCCGAGTTAGCCGACCGAATTCTTCGAACGAAGTGCCAAAAGTGCGAGTGAGTGAGTGCAGGAAAGCTGAGAAAGAATTCTTACGGTGAATAGAATAGATACAGGGAAAGTGATAAGTAAGTTGTGTTTCGGGAAAGTGCGATAAAACAGTCTGTCTCGACTGATTGCCTAGGCGCCAGTTATTTTTTCCCCGAGGGCAGATCATCGTTTTTGAAGAATTCTTTTGGGGGTTTCTTTTAGGTACGGTTAAGTATTCGATTAGAAATATTATTTGTGTGATGAATTAAGGGAAATTGTTCAATCAACGTTGCTCGTTTTAAATTGAACTTTCATTCAAGTTCTGTTTTGCTGTTAGCTAGTGAATCAGTATTTAAACTGACCAGATCTTTTAAAGGCAAATTCAATACACTTTTATTAAAGAAAAAACTGTAGTAATGAAATAAAATTACATTTTAATTTAATTACTGTATTTAACTGATTAGAAAAAATAAACAAATCAAACTCTCTACATTTTTATCATTATTAATTAATGGTTACACATATTTATTTGGGAAAGAGATCACCTTGAATAATTCTACATTACCTATTTCAAATTTCTTCATAATACTGACCACATAAGACAGACCAATTATTTTAATTATATTATACACATATATTTTTGTACATTTAGAGTTATTTAGTACAGTTATTTAGTACAGAGCTTTTAAAATCAGTATTGTACTGAATAAATCAGTATGCCTGGTCACTTTACCAATAATAAGCCAATCATTTGCTACCTTATACGCATATTTTAAACATTAACACATTTCTGACAGTCTTAATAAGGAGATCTTAAAAATCATTTGTTTACTTCAACATTTGTTAAGATATTAGATAACATGGAGAGTGGTGCAGAGCGTGAGAGCTAGGATTACTTAAAAAAATAATTTGGATATAAAAATACAGAATACAAAAAAGGGGTGGATAAAAAGTACAGGACAAGAAAAAGAATAAAAACATAAACTTAGGAATAGAGAGTGGTAGATACATTAAAAAATACAAGGAAAGGAAAGTGAGGTTATGATAAGCATTATTAGTAGAAAGAAAGCACATGGTTGGAAAGCTAGAAAGTAAGGTAAAATAGGAAATTAAGACTTGGTATTTAAGGACAAAAGAAAAGGAAGGAAGGAAGGAAAGAAAAATGAACCAGGAGACAGAGATAACAGTGGAAGGCAGGCGAATAGAGGGACAGGTGAAAGGTACATCGAAAAGTGAAAGAAAGGAAAGAGGCAAAGAGAAGGAAGAAAGTAGACAAAATGAAAACTTCACAGAGAAGTGGAGAGAAAAGGTAAGAGCAAGACCAGGAGGGAGAAGAAAGTAAACTTGACAAAATAACGACAGATCAAATAAGATCATTTGAGGAGATGATAAAAAGAATGGAGAATGTATTGAAGGAAATGAGCAGAGTAAGGGAGGAACTAGAAAGGAAGCTAGAAAACAAGGTCAAAATGGTAACAGAGAGAATACAAGGATTAGAAACTGGATGGAAAGGACAGGAAGAGGAATTAATGAGGAAAGTAGAGCTAATGCTAAGAAGAATACAAGAGAGAGGAATAGAGGAAAAGAAAAGAAAGGTATTAGAAAAAAAACAGAAAGGAGGAAAACTATGAGAGAGGATGTACAGGAGATGCAGACCAAAGCATACAGAGAGAAATGAAAATAATTGAGAGGAGAATGGAAAAACAAGAGAAAAGGGAAAGGAAGAATAATATTGTGGTAAGAGGATTGAAGCAAAAGAGAAAGTAGAGGAATTTTTGCAAGAAAAATTCAATGTAAGAGAGGGAGTAAATGCAATAGAAATCAAGGGAAGGGAACAGGAACTAGGTATAGTAATAATTCAGTTAAAAAGTTGGAAGACAAAGCAGTAATAAGGGGAGAAGATGAATCTTAAAGAAATATACATAGAGAATGATTTAACAGATGAAGATTAAGGGAATTAGCCTGACTGGCAGAAAAGAGCAAGCAACAGGAATCGAAAATACCAGTCTTAGATTTTCTATTAGAGAAGAAATAGCCTCTTCTGCACGTAGAGGAACAACTTACGCGGACGAATAATATACAACTATGAATTATAGCCCGGAATTTGTGACGCTATTTTTGCCTTCGACACGTGCGCTCCACCGTAACAACGATCTCTTTTCAGAGCACCGAACAAACTATATTCTCTTCGATTTTTACCCATTTTTACCTCTGTTTGTATCCATATGAGAGAAATTTTTTAACCATGTTTTAAGTTACATAAAAATTTGCTCGTGATCCATTATTAACTTTCTCGATCATTCCAGTATTAATCATCGTCAAAAACTTCATCGAAACTCCGTGAAACATTAATTGTCAAAGGGGTAACACCACCCTGAGGCGTCTAGAAGTAGGCAAAGTTTGGGAATTTTTTTCATAGCAAACTACCGAATGAAAATTTCCAATTTTTTCACAGGATATAAATGCAACTTCTAGCTTTCTTCTCCAATTTTTAAAAATGTTACACTTAACCCTTTCACGACCAGCGAGGACGCAATGTCTCACAATGTACTCTAACGAAAATTAATTCCAATTTGCTATCCATCACGACGATC